CCGGCCCACCCGAGCCTGCGCCCCGCGCCGGGCGCCACGCAGCCGGGCTCGGCCCTCGGCCCCTGCGCACCCCGCGGCCGCCGAGCGCGCCGGGGCCTTCCGCTCGGCGCGTCCTGCGCGTCGCAGACTTCTCCGGGGCTTGGGAGGATGTTAGATTGTTTTTCCCGGGCACGTCTAGACAGGTCACCTGAGGACACTCGCTGGAAAATGGTTACTTCGCTCACGCAGCAGCCAACAAGGGACGTGCCCTAATTGAGCGATTGGACTGAAAGAGGAATACAATTTGAATAATTTTCTCCTATGCAGGGAGAAGGTGGATTTTATTCGCCTATGGATGTGTCCCAAGTATAAAGCAAGGTGCTGTGAACACGGGAGAATTACTTAAAGGTTTCCTATATTAGTGAATTGATTAGTAATTAATTTGAGAGCCATGAATGCACTGGAAGTTAGTCTGGATGGAAATGTTTCATCTTTTGACAAATACTGAGCCCCCAGTACATGCAAGACCCACAGTGCTCGGGATACAGAGCTGGGGAACAAGATCTCTGCTCCAGTGGAATGCACCGTCTAACGGGCAAGACAATTAGACGAGTGATTACAAGTGAGGGAGGTGTTATACAGTGATACCTGTGCGGGAACATTGTGGTCAGGGAACTTATCCTGTTCTAGGGTCAGGGACGGCATTGCTGTGGGAAGTTAAGCCGAACAGTTTGAAGGATTGCTAAAACTCAGCAGATGAAAAGGAGCACGAAGAATATTCCAGGCCAGGTGGGGGAACATACACACACAGTCCAGGGCTATTGAGAGACATGCCGCCGCCCGGGAGGAAGTGTCTGGCAGGGCTGGGGTGGGAAGAGCCGCCCGGCTGGGCTCTGCGGAGGTGGGCGGGGGCTGACTGAGCCGGGTGAGCCACACTGAGGATTGGTTATTGTAGCTGGCCTTGCTGGCTCATCCAGGGAGCGGGGGAAAAGGCTTACTTTCTTCTTACTTGTCTCCCCGCCACGCACATACACCCTACCGCCTTATGATCTCGGTATTACTTGCTCTCCTAGCAAAAATTTTCACCTGCTGCTTCTTTCCCTAGGCATACTGCACAAGGACGGTCCTTCTTTAGGAAACTTCCTGAAGATGGATAGAGTTCTAGGATTTTTGCAATTAGTTCATCTGTTAATCGCTATAGCAAGAAACAGGATTGGGAGGCAGCAAATGTCTAAAGGAAGACAGAGAAACCAAGAGGTCCAAATCCAAGATACTTGATCAAAGTCAAAAAAGTCTGTGTGTCCAGGGAGCCAAGAGCACTTATGTAAAAGAACTCTGGAAATGAAAAATCAACTGGTACATTTTAGAGATTTTCAGAAAGGCGAAGACGGAATAGAGGCACCCTTTGAAAGCCTCTTCTTAATAGATCTGCATTAAAAAATATTTAAGAGATTAAACCTTGATGCTTTGATATAAAGCATAAGTAGAACCAACCAGAAAAGAATTTCTCCTAAATATGCCGTCAAGTCCCCTTCAAGAAATGGCATGCAGATGCTTGTCGAGCTGAGGTGGTTGGCTGGGCGTTTGTCTTCTAAACACCCTGTGTGGCCAATTAGGAGCAGTACTGACAGGACCTTAGACTTCAGCCAGCTAGTCTTTTTCTTTTTTTCTCCCGCCCCATTATAATGCTTTTTGCCAGCTTAAAAGACACATGCGTCAGAAACACTGATGCAATGAGACGCTAATATCATCTTGCGTCATCTGATCCTAGGTGTGGTGCTCCTGAAACTGGTTTTTCTTGGGGTTGTGCTGCAGTAGAAAAGCACTTTGGGTACGGCACCCGTGAACTGGCCCTACTCGTCAGATGACAAAAGTAATTTTCGTGACTACACGCCTCAATTCCACAGCACTATTCTCCCCGAGAAAGCCCGTGTGACTTTCCCAGCTGAAAGGGGTGTGCTGCAGACACTCGACAGTCAGGTGTGTCACCCTGTCGCTTATGTAACCAACGTTACATGGCGAGGTGCACCTACCAGGCAAGCTGGAAATGACACTTCCTCCTCCAAAATTTGCTTGGAATTTTACCTCACCTGAATCGAGCAACTTCTCTGGGGACAGAGTGGTTTGGTGCAAAACCTAGAGAGGGGAAGGGACAGAAGGTGGCTGAGACTTCTCAGGCATTTGGGGGCAAAGGTGCCTGGCACCGTGCTGGGCATTTCACACACACAGCTGTGGAAATGAGGGGCCCAGGTGCCAGTCTGCTGTTGCCATCTGGCCTCTCCCGCTCTTCAGTAAGGTCAGATGTCAGGTTAGATTTGGCTGCCTTTAAGGTCCCTTCCAGAAGTGTAATTCCATCCAACTTAGCCACGGAAAGCTGTATCTCTAGTTGAAACATTAATTTTCTGATACGGTGTATATAAAAATGAAGCCACTGATCGTGGGAATGACGCTACTGACCAATGGAAGCTTGACTCTGTTGGTCTGTGTCAGTACAATTGGGTTAGGACCTGCCACCTGTGTTGTCCAGCATGGTAGCCACCAGCCACGTGTGGCTACTGAGCATTTGAAATGTGGCCAGTGCAAACTGAAATGTGTCGTAAGTGTTAAACACACACCAGACTTCAAAGACTTAGCACAATAGAAAAGTAGAATGCAAACTATCTCATTAATAATTTTATATTGATTACATGTTGAAATGATAGTGTGATGTATATCTTGGGTCAGTGTGGTATGAAATGAATTTCAACGGTTTTTTTTTTTTTTTTACTCCTTTCAATGTGGCTACCACGAAATTTAAAACAACATATTTAAAGTTTTGTGGCTCACATTTTATTCCTGTTAGACATCACTACCTTCGAAAGCATAGCTGGGAAACGAGGAATTTGCTCTGGACCCAACACTTCCTGCTTCTGTTCTCTGGTTTCCCCTATTTGTAAAATGGCAAGATAGATTCTGGGTTAAATTGCTCTTCGGATGACTTTTGGATTTGATATTCTCTGATTCTTAGGACAGCAATCGGTGGAGAATACCTGTCATGGTGTTTGGAGAGATGTTTTCTGGGAGATGAAGATTTTATAATCCTTTTTCTGCCAGTGAGTCATGAAGTTTTAGAATCCAAACGGTCTTTAAATATTATAGTTGAACCTTTGTCTGTGAGCCCCTCCTGGGCTTGGCTTGTGGTTTATTCATCTTTGTTTTTCCAGCCAGCACCCAGGGCAGCACCTGGCGTGTAGTGAGCTGTCAATAGATGCTTGTTGATCTAAATAATATCTGGGGGAAGAAATGAAGCCCAGAGAGGCTCTGAGACCTCCTAAGACCACACAGCTGGCTGGTCAGAGAGCCAGGAAGAGTACAAGACTCTCGAGCTAGTTCAGAAAACCTTTGGGGCGGTCCCTGGACCACAGCATCTGCATCAGATGGAGGTTTGTTAGATACACAGAAGCTCAGGCTGGGCTCCAGACCTACTCAATGAGAATCTTCACTTTTAACAACATCCCAGGGGATTTCTATGTGTCTTTGAGTATGAGAAGCGCCACTGAAGTCATTCCACTTTTCTCAAGGACAGCCACATTGTGCATGCCCTGTGGGAGCTATTCATTGTCCAGTCCAGGTGAGGAGGTA